GCCGCTACCGGCCAAAAACCGCGCGATTTTCGCCGCTAGCGGCCAAAAACCATGCGATTTTCGCAGCTGGCGAGCAAAAATCGCAATTTCCGCCACTACGGGCCAAAAATTGCGCGATTTTCGCTGCTTGCGGCCAAAAACCGTGCGATTTTCGCCGCTAGCGGCCAAAAATCGTGCGATTTTCGCCGCTAGCGGCCAGAAACTATGCGATTTTTGCAGCAGGCGGGCAAAAAGAGCGCGATTTTAGCCGCTACCGGCCAAAAACCGCGCGATTTTCGCCGCTAGCGGCCAAAAATAGCGCGATTTTCGCCGCTAGCGGCCAAAAACCGCGCGATTTTCGCCGCTAGCGGCCAAAAATAGCGCGATTTTCGCCGCTAGCGGCCAAAAACCGTGCGATTTTCGCCGTTAGCAGCCAAAAACCATACGATTTTCGCAGCTGGCTGGCAAAAATCGTGATTTTCGCCGCTACCAGCAAAAAATAGCGCGATTTTCGCCGCTAGCGGCCAAAAACATGCGATTTTCGCAGCTGGCGGGCAAAAATCGCGATTTTCGCCGTTACCGGCCAAAAATAGTGCGATTTTCGCCGCTAGCGGCCAAAAACCGTGCGATTTTCGCCGCTAGCGGCCAAAAACCGTGCGATTTTCGCCGCTAGCGGCCAAAAATCGTGCAAATTTCGCCGCTAGCGGCCAAAAATCGTGCGAATTTCGCCGCTAGCGGCCAAAAATCGTGTGAATTTCGCCGCTAGCGGCCAGAAACTATGCGATTTTTGCAGCTGGCGGGCGAAAATAGCGCGATTTTCGCCGCTACCGGCCAAAAACCGCGCGATTTTCGCCGCTAGCGGCCAAAAACCATGCGATTTTCGCAGCTGGCGGGCAAAAATCGCGATTTTCGCCACTACCGGCCAAAAATAGCGCGATTTTCGCCGCTAGCGGCCAAAAACCGTGCGATTTTCGCCGCTAGCGGCCAAAAATCGTGCGATTTTCGCCGCTAGCGGCCAGAAACTATGCGATTTTTGCAGCTGGCGGGCAAAAATAGCGCGATTTTTTACCGGCCGCGATTTTCGCCGGCCAAAAACCGCGCGATTTTCGCCGCTAGCGGCCAAAAATAGCGCGATTTTCGCCGCTAGCGGCCAAAAATCGTGCGATTTTCGCCGCTAGCGGCCAAAAATCGTGCGAAGCGGCCTATGCGATTTCGCCGCTTTGCGATTTTTGCAGCTGGCGGGCAAAAATAGCGCGATTTTCGCCGCTACCGGCCAAAAACCGCGCGATTTTCGCCGCTAGCGGCCAAAAACCATGCGATTTTCGCAGCTGGCGGGCAAAAATCGCGATTTTCGCCGCTACCGGCCAAAAATAGCGCGATTTTCGCCGCTAGCGGCCAAAAACCGTGCGATTTTCGCCGCTAGCGGCCAAAAATCGTGCGATTTTCGCCGCTAGCGGCCAAAAATCGGGCGATTTTTGCCGAACGGCCAAAAACCGCGCGATTTTCGCCGCTAGCGGCCAAAAACCGTGCGATTTTCGCCGCTAGCGGCCAAAAACCGTCGCGCGATTTTCGCCGCTAGCGGCCAAAAACCGTGCGATTTTCGCCGCTAGCGGCCAAAAACCATGCGATTTTTGGCGCCGCCGCTAGCGGCCAAAAATCGTGCGAATTTCGCCGCTAGCGGCCAAAAATCGTGCGATTTTCGCCGCTAGCGGCCAGAAACTATGCGATTTTCGCAGCTGGCGGGCAAAAATAGCGCGATTTTCGCCGCTACCGGCCAAAAACCATGCGATTTTCGCAGCTGGCGGGTAAAAATCGCGATTTTCGCCACTACCGGCCAAAAATAGCGCGATTTTCGCCGCTAGCGGCCAAAAATCGTGCGATTTTCGCCGCTAGCGGCCAAAAATCGTGGGATTTTCGCCGCTAGCGGCCAAAACTATGCGCTATTTTTTAGCAGCGCATTTTGGCTAGCGGGCAAAAATCGCGCGATTTTCGCCGCTACCGGCCAAAAACGCGCGATTTTCGCCGCTAGCGGCCAAAAACCATGCGATTTTTCGCCGCTAGCGGCCAAAAATAGCGCGATTTTCGCCGCTAGCGGCCAAAAATCGTGCAATTTTCGCCGCTAGCGGCCAAAAATCGTGCGATTTTCGCCGCTAGCGGCCAAAAATCGTGCGAATTTCGCCGCTAGCGGCCAAAAACTATGCGATTTTTGCAGCTGGCGGGCGAAAATAGCGCGATTTTCGCCGCTACCGGCCAAAAACCGCGCGATTTTCGCCGCTAGCGGCCAAAAACCATGCGATTTTCGCAGCTGGCGAGCAAAAATCGCGATTTTCGCCGCTAGCGGCCAAAAATATGCGCGATTTTCGCAGCGCTAGCGGCCAAAAACCGTGCGATTTTCGCCGCTAGCGGCCAAAAATCGCGCGATTTTTCGCCGCTAGCGGCAAAAATCGCGCGTTTTTCGCCGCTAGCGGCCGAAAACCGCGCTATTTTCGCCGCTAGCGGCCAGAAACCAAACGAGTTTTGCAGCTGGCGGCCAAAAAACGCGCGAATTTCGCCGCTACCAGCCAAAAACCGCGCGATTTTCGCCGCTAGCGGCCAAAAACCATGCGATTTTCGCAGCTGGCGGGCAAAAATCGTGCAAATTTCGCCGCTAGCGGCCAAAAATCGTGGGAATTTCGCCGCTAGCGGCCAGAAACTATGCGATTTTTGCAGCTGGCGGGCAAAAATAGCCGATTTTCGCCGCTACCGGCCAAAAACCGCGCGATTTTCGCCGCTAGCGGCCAAAAACCATGAGATTTTCGCAGCTGGCGGGCAAAAATCGCGATTTTCGCCGCTACCGGCCAAAAATAGCGCGATTTTCGCCGCTAGCGGCCAAAAACCGTGCGATTTTCGCCGCTAGCGGCCAAAAATCGGGCGATTTTTGCCCTTACCGGCCGAAAACCGCGCTATTTTCGACGCTAGCGTCCAGAAACCATGCGATTTTTGCTGCTGGCGCCCAAAAACCGCGCGAATTTCGCCGCTACCTGCAAAAAATCGACCGATTTTCGCCGTTACCGGCCAAAAACCGCGCGATTTTCGCCGCTAGCGGCCAAAAACCATGCGATTTTCGCAGCTGGCGGGCAAAAATCGCGATTTTCGCCGCTACCGGCTAAAAATAGCGCGATTTTCGCCGCTAGCGGCCAAAAATCGTGCGAATTTCGCCGCTAGCGGCCAAAAATCGTGGGAATTTCGCCGCTAGCGGCCAGAAACTATGCGATTTTTGCAGCTGGCGGGCAAAAATAGCGCGATTTTCGCCGCTAGCGGCCAAAAACCATGCGATTTTCGCAGCTGAGGGGCAAAAATCGCGATTTTCGCCGCTACTGGCCAAAAATAGCGCGATTTTCGCCGCTAGCGGCCAAAAACCGTGCGATTTTCGCCGCTAGCGGCCAAAAATCGGGCGATTTTTGCCGCTAACGGCCGAAAACCGCGCGCTTTTTCGCCGCTAGCGGCCAAAAACCGCGCGTATTTCGCCGCTACCTGCCAAAAATCGACCGATTTTCGCCGCTACCGGCCAAAAATCGTGCAAATTTCGCCGCTAGCGGCCAAAAATCGTGCGAATTTCACCGCTAGCGGCCAAAAATCGTGCGTTTTTCCCCGCTAGCGGCCAGAAACTATGCGATTTTTGCAGCTGGTGGGCGAAAATAGCGTGATTTTCGCCGCTACCGGCCAAAAACCGCGCAATTTTCGCCGCTAGCGGCCAAAAACCATGCGATTTTCGCAGCTGGCGGGCAAAAATAGCGCGATTTTCGCCGAT